CATGTCTAAAACTAAAGTAACAATAATTGTTTTAGACATTTCGCTTTGCATAAGTAACCAATTACAGACTGTTCCATCCTCGGATATCGAATAGAAATTCATTTCCCCATCAGGTAAATCTTTAGCCCAAACTACCTGAAATTAATTTTTAATAACATTTCATAAATAACTAACTAATGTGTCCATTTCAATTTTTTTTTATCACAAGATATAAAATAAAATTGTTGAAATTTAAAAGTAGTATTTTGGAGATAGTATTAAGTAGAGAAACATCACAGGAAAGAAAAAAAAATTACAAACTAGGCCAAGTTCGGGTTATAATAAAATCAGTAAAAAACTTAATTGTATATAACCGTAAATATTTAGCACACCTGTCTTACACACGCTTTATGCTTAGTATTTACTGCATCTGTCATGTACTGTGGTTCTTTAGTTGGTAAACTAACATTATATACAGCTAGATGACCATCATGAAATCCAACAGCAATTAAGAAACCATGTTCACGATGAAAATCTAAACACATTGCTCCACAATGCGTTTGATTTATGTACTCTGGATATGATGGATTCTTTAATGACCATAAACAAATATATCCTATATCCGAACTATCTGTTAATGGCAAGTGCCCTATTGCTGTGGATATAAAATAGAAAAAAAATTTTAAATGTGTTTTGTTAACTTTTTCTATTACTTACGAGTTCCAAGTGTTACAGCAAATAGATCAAAATAATCAGGACTCCAGCTAATATCTGTTACATATAGGGATTCTGCTTTTTCATACTGCATCGTCCACAGTGGTAGTAATGTACCTTCTCTACCTCTAAATTGATCTGAAGGGTCTTCATAATAACGAAAATCTGAGGCATAAAAGTCAGATTTTTAATCTATAAAACTTATAAACGTAATTACGTACTTTATATCTTATTATTATAACATATATAACATGAAAATAACTCAATTTTTAGCTCTTCTCCAAAAATAATACACTCCTGCATTAAAGGTTCAATTTACCCATTTCATAAGTGAGTTGGGTCAGATCGCATTAAATTTTTTCTGGTGAGTTAGGTTGCCAAAGTGTTTCAAAACTTATGAAATCGGGTTGGTTAAACTCGAATAACTTAAAAATAGAAATATTCAAAAAGAAAAACTTGTATATACTTTTATTATGATGTTAAACTATTTTTAAAATTTAAAAATTTACAGGAAAAAAGATTTTTTCTAACAAAAAGTACAAACAGCAAAACATGTTAAGAATTAATATAGAATTTTAAAAGTTAGCAACAAGTAATTAAATTAACAATATATTAGAATTAGATAGAAGGATGATATTTGGGGTCGGCTTAGTGGTTAAAAACGTATTTTTCGGCGCACAGGGTCCCAAGTTCGTTTCCATGATGCTAACGAAATTTTTCTTGTGATTTTTTCATGGTGGTATTTGGTCTCTAGCAGAAGCCTACCATAATACCAGCCTTTTTCATCATTGGCCTAACCAAAAACCATCGTTGATTCCCTAACATGTGAAAGAGGGCCAACACCCTCTGTAGCATGTTCAGGAAATTGAAGGTTCTAAAACAATAATACTTAAATAATTTTTAGATTTGTGTATTAAACTAGATGGAAGTTTAATTCAACATTAGTTTAAGTAAGTTAAGTTGGATTAATTTCTCTTCAGGTCCGTTCAGATCTATAAATTGCTTACCAATGCTCACGAGAAAAATTATGACTATCAATGCAGCAAGTTTGATTTAATCTATTTTTAAAA